CATCAAAATTGGTAGAAGAGCTAAAATGATACTTCTCCAAAGAGGAAATGCAGATGGCCAGCAGGCATATGAAAAATGTACAGTATCACTTGTAATAAGGGAAATGCAAATTGAAACTACAATGAGATTTCGCCTCACACCAGTGAGAAGACACATATTAAAATAACTAGCAACAATAGATGTTGGTAAGGGTGTGGAGAAAAAAGAACTCTCCTACACTGACGGTGGGAATACAAACTAGTAGAGCCACTACGGAGAGCTGTGTGGAGGTTTCTTAAACTGCTAAAAAATGGATCTTCCATATGATCCAGCAATTCCTCTCCTAGCTATCTACCAAAAGGACACAAAACAATAATTCAAAAAGACACCTGCATCCCCGTGTTTATTGCTGCCCTATTTTATAGGGAAGATTTGGAATCAACCCAAATACCCAAAAATAGATGACTGGATCAAGAAGATCCAGTCTCTTTATATATATATATATATATATATGTCTGTCTGTCTATCTGTCTATCTATCTATCACACACAATGGATTATTACTCAGCAATCAAAAAGGACAAACTTATGCCATTTGCAGCAACATGATTGGAACTGGAAAAGATCATGCTTAGTGATATAAGTCAGAAATGAAAAGAAAAATACTGGGTGGTTTCACTCATAGTAGGAGTGTAAGGGACTGGGGTGGGGAGGGAATATATATACGTGTGTGTGTGTGTGTGTGTGTGTATGTATGTATTAAAGTGAAGAAGAACATCCTAACAACTATAAACCAGAGACAGCCTATGGGGGAGGGAAGGGGAACAAGATAAAAACAGAATGGGAAGAGCACATAGGACAATGATGATGGCACATGGGTGAAGTGGTGGAAAGTTACAGGTATTACAACTGAGATGAAAAAATGTACAAAGTGAAGAAGAATATAAAAAAATGCATTTATAAAATAAATAAAAACATAGGTGATAACATCTTTTATAGTATTTAGACAGAAAGTAAAAATCTGTCTTGTCTTTAATACTAATCTTTTTAATTTGTTGTGCATCCTTTTACCTCTGTAATATTACCTATATATGCATATATATTTGTACACATATAGATATACATGCACAGTTAAATTCGTTTTTGTACAGATAGAATCATATTGTCATTCTTGTTCTATGATCTTTTGACACTACCTTTTGGCTTTTCATAATTTTACAAATATCAGTCTTACTCCTTTCATTGTTTTGAGGTACTTTGTTTAGTGGAGGTATCATAAGTTACTGATTCCCCTACAGCAGGCACGTTACTCTTTATGTTTGAAATTTTATGCCTGGTAGAGTGAAACAGTAAAGAAAATCACTAGACTTGGTGAGCTTCAAGTTGCACAACTCCCGAAGTTAGAGTCATTCGTAAAACATATATGAGAGATACTAGTATGCTAGTAATTTGAATAACCTAGATAAAATGGACAAATTCTTAGATATATACAATCATTCAAGACTGAATCAGGAAGAAGTAGAAAACCCGAGCAGACCTATTATACTCGAGGAAAGGAAAAGAGTAATCAACCTCCATCCAGATGGTATAACCCAGGTGGTTTCATTAGTGCTTTTTACCACACATTCATAGGTGAACTGATACCTGTTAAAATGGCCCTTTCAAAGTTTCAATGACATTTTTTTAACATAAAATACAAATATTACTGAAATTCATGAGGAAACACAGAAGGTCTTGAATAGCCAAAGCATTCCTAACAAAGAAGGCCTGACACGCCTGACAAGAAAGAGGGAGTGACGATATCACATCCCCAGGTTTCAATCTATACTACAAAGCTATAATGTTCAAAACAGTACAGTATTGGACCAAAATACCAAACAGAATAGAATTATGCTCCCAACTCTGTGTCTGGTGAATCCTTTCACTTTGTACCTTTGGGCTACATTCCAGTTCTTATATGATAAATAAGTTAAAAATAAATCTTTTTTAAAAAAGCTTTTTTCCATTGCAGTCATTGTAGATTCTAGATATAATATATTTTCCATACAATTTTTGACACTTGTGTCTCAGCATATGATCTATGCTTGGGATTGTTCTATGTTACTTGAGAATTCTCTTTGATTGTTCAGTGATCTCCATGTGTACTTTCTGTGAGCTGCAGTTGATACTTATTTTCTGTGATCTTAACAAGGAGAAGGGAGGGAACATCCCTTATCTCCACTTCTGGCTGCCAGTTTCCCCCACGCAAGCCATGGCCATTTAATTCCTGGTGACTGTACTGTAGGCTCATTGTATGTGTGCTTGTGTACTGTTTGCACAGGCCCTTTCACACAGTTCTCTACTGGTGCCCTGTCTCCAAGCTGTCCTGCTTCATGGCTGGCATCTCCTTGATCTTTTTATCTACCTTCTCCAAGCCAGTCACAAACCTTCAAACACAACCTTTGGGAAAATTTTATGTCTCTGCAACTGAATTTCCAGATCTTCCTTTGAGCTAATTTATTTTCCTTTCAGTTGTATGTAGTGGTGAAATTATCCAACCCTCCCTATTCAGCCATGTTGTAGGTAAAGTCCAGACATGTAATTCTTATTTAAAGAATTGTCATTGATTATTTTTTGCTTAGACTTATATTTGTGGTGCTGTTTACTGCAAATTGTATGGAACATCCTCATTTAATTTTATGCTGTTATTTTAGTAGCAATACAGTGTTGATCACTAAAATGTTTACATTTAGCCAAAATATAGTTCATCATAGGCTTTCCTTGTAGATACAGGAAGGTATAAAATACCGATTATTAATGAACTGGGTGATTTTACTCTTACATATTTTTGCTGTGCTTTCAACATTTTCTCTTTTAGCTCTTCATGAATATGCATTTATTTTCTTGAAAAATCTAGCTTCTATGTTGCCTATGTACTATATTGCCTCTGAAAATCAAGGAGTGATTTTATTGAGAACAAATGACTGAATTCTTTTAGTCTTTTTTGGGGCATATGGGGCAACTCAAATGTAGTAAAGAATTTAAAATTAGGATTTTTGTGATCTAAAAGCCATGATATAATATATTTTTTAAAAAAAGATTTATTTACTTATGCATACAGTACTTAGAGTATAGGCCAAAGGTGCAGGGGCGGTGAGAGGATTCACCAGAGACAGAGCAGGGAGCAAAACAGACAGATTGACAGAGTACACTGCTGAGGAGAGCAGTAGGCGAGATAGGAGAGGTCTGCTGTGCCATGTGGGTCACCTCTGGTCAGGGATCCAACTCACATCAACGTGGCCGCAGCCAGCTTCTTAGTGCTGTGCTTTAACCTGCCACCAGGGAGGGCCTGATAAAAGGTCTTTTAAAATAAATTCATCTAGTATAGCAAAGAAAGGTAATTTCAGTTTTGTATGTTCCATTTCTGTCTATCCATTTGCATATATTGTATACTAAGTTGTAATGCAAATATATATACAACTTAAGGTGATTTAACTTTTCCTTGTATAAAGTCAATGGTAGCTCCACTAATCAAGCTTTAAATAAAAACAGATGTATTATTCATCCACAATCCTCATCCACCTCAGCAAAGATAATCCATTTAGTTACTAAGATAGACATATGTACAGATGAAATTGTGTTATGCTTTATGCTTGACTTTATTAATTTCTGTATGAGCTTCACTGAGAATGTTTAGACCCTAGAGCCAGGCTGCTCCTTACACCTGCTAATTAGGTTCAGGTTGCAGAGGACATGACCAGGTACTTCCCCTCTATGCTGGAATCCTGATGCTTCCTATGTTGATTGGTCTACACTTTTCACTGCGGGATCATTCTCTGGTGTTTATGAGCAGATGCCATTGCTTAATTCTCTTTTTCTAAGATCTCTTCATTTAGATCAGGTCATTTTGCATTGCTTGTTTTATCTATATATATCATCTCTCTTTCCAACAGAAGATAATAGAATTATTGACTAAAATGTGTAGACACTTTCTTTTATCTGAAATGTTTACTCTCTGCTTAAACATAAAGGGATTTACAGTTCCTTGGCTTTAAACTAGAATTCTGGACATAGCAATGTTGTAAACATAAATGCTTTAATTTTCTGTAAAAACAGATTCTTAATGCACACCAGCATGATTCCCACCCTCCTCTTCCCACCCCTCGTAAATTATAGGCTCACTCTTGCCTGTGTTGTTAGATTATGTGGCATATATTACCTGAATCCAGGGGTGGAGTAATTGTGACCTTGAAATGTTGGTGACTTCTGAGTGCTTTTAGCAAGAATGAGAGCTAGTACTTAGTCTGATGGCTGAAAGTTCAGATGTCTTCCTTTCAGTCAGCAGTTGAGAAAGTGCACTAGTCAAGTGAACAATTTTCTGTATCCATTTTGTGGTAAATTATCATGATTATTGTGTATTTTGTAGTTTTTGAGCAGTGTGTTCTGCTAAGACGTTGGAGTAGTTTTCATAGCTGAGAAGTACAAATGGTTTCTGCTTACAATTCAGATAATAGTGCAAGAGTATTCTCTACTGAGGAGGACGCGAAGACTTCAGAACTTTCAGTGTAAAAATTATTTGAATATCTGCAGAGTTTGTGGATTTGGAACATATGAGCACTGTATTTCCCCCTGATGCTTCTGGGGTCTGTTCATTAGCACATAACCTGAGGAAGCTTGAGATAGGAGTAAGGTTTTCATTTCAGGACTTGTCAATAGATACATTTTTCAGAGTGAACTGAAATTATCGAACCATTGACTGTGCATAGTATTTGAGATGTTTGAGTTGTTAGGACCAGTTTCACATGAATTAGTTGGAGTGATTGCCGACAGTGGGGGTGCATTCTGTTACATTATTAACCCTTCTCTTTTTGTTACAAGGATACTTTCTTCTTTCTCCCCACCACACACTTTACCATTAGTGAAATATAGTAGTTCACATGTAAAAAGGACAGTTATATTGCTGAGTAATACTGCTTCATTTGTTTAGAAGTTATCTGGGTACAAATGACTGAATTTAATAGGTTTTTATTTTTTTTCTTTCAGGTTCAGTTTACGAACCTCTTAAAAGCATTAATCTTCCGAGACCTGATAATGAAACTCTGTGGGATAAATTAGATCATTATTACAGAATTGGTAAGCAAAACTCAAGAAAAACATGCTGTTAAATAGCAATGATTAATCTTCACATTGCTTTATTTATAGTATGTACATTACATGGATGATGTGTGCTCATTTGGATGTTGGGATAGGCAACTCGATGTGCTAATTATATTTTGATATTGGGATCATAAAGGGAGTCCAGCAAAATTTTTTTTCTATTTTTTTAAAAAGATTTTATTTTAGTTTTTTAAAATTATATATATATGTATATATATATACATATATATATTTTTTTACATCATTTTGTGCCTTTTTCCATCTCAGTTGTAATCCTGTGGGCTTTCAATCACCTAATCCCTTCCCCCCCATTTTTGATCCCATTCCCCATTCCATGCCCATAAAATGTCTCTGGTATACAGTTGTTCATTATTATTGTTTATTTCGCCCCTGGTCCTTTATGGAGTCCAGCAAACTTTATCCCTTGAAAAATTACTTGACCTTTCACCAATGTCCTCTGTGTCCTTATAACTCTCACAAAGGCTACCGGGTTGAAAGGCTTGGCTGTTCCTTTAGTGGGACTTAGACAACAGAGATTTTGTAGAAAAATTAATCCTTGATTATTTACTTGCACAAGGTTCCCAGCTTATTCTGAACATTTAAATTCAGTTCTTGTTCACTGAGAAATAACAGGTTGCTGTTACTAATATAAAGTACTGTTTATTTTTTGGCTAGAACCCTGGCTATTTTATTTTTTTGAAAGATTTATTTATTTAGGCAGAGGTGCAGGGGCAGTGAGAGGATTCATTAGAGACAGAGTGGGGAGCAGAACAGGCACATGGATGAAGTATACTGCTGAGGGGAACAGCAGGTGAGACAGGAGAGGTCTGCTACATCATGTGGGTCACCTTTGGGCCTGGGATCAAATTCATGCTGAAGGAGCTGCAGCTAGCTTGCACTGCTGTGCTTTAACCTGTTGTACCACCAGAGAGGGCTGGTTCCTGGATAAATTTTATGCTTTAATGTGCATTAATAATGCTGAGCTGTGTGTCTATGGGATGCCTCTTTGTTTCATCAGACTGTAAATTAAAATGGTTATTATTTGTGCGTGTGTGTAAATTTGCTTCTTGTGCCATTCATTTGTTTACCATATCATTGCATATATGAGAGAGAGTTCATGAGATAATGGATTTTTTGGTTTATTTCAACTTTAGGTGAAATCGTCACTCAGCTTATTTTGATCAAGATTTTAGAACATATTCTTGTTTCTCCTTTATCATCTTTGTAGCCTTAACAAGCTAAAAAGTTTTAAGTACTTTTCTATAATAAATCATAATTGTTTACTTCAGATTATGAAGACCAGTTTTTTAACTCTGGGATAAATAATAACTGTCCTGCCATTCTGAAAGAAGTGATGACAGCAGTTTAGCTTGAGATAAGGAAATCCTTTTTCTGAAGGATTTTAATCTATCAATCACCAGAGTGCTTTAGTCTCTAAAAAAAGTATCCTAAAAGTACCAGACATACTAATAATTTGGTTAATTTGATGTGTTTTTGGGGAAAAAAATTACTCATCCATTATAATTAGGTAGGAATAAAATAGCTTTTACATGGTATAGTTTTAGTGTTTATTTAATTATATTCACATTCATTTATAAAATGTAATAAAACATTAATTTTCAACTTATCTTATTAAAAAAGTCTTATAGAACCAATTATTGCCATTTCTATGTTCTAAAAAGGTAGGATTCAGTTTTGAAGTGGTAAACACCTCTCTTAAGTTGTACAATACAGTAAGAAAATGAAGACATTCCACTGAAGGCCAGGCACAAAGTAAATTAAGAACAGTATTCTGAGTTGCATTAATTGAGTTGGAATTAGGTTGGGTGAATATATGCCACTTTGTAGTATTTGCTTTATGATTCCCTATCAAGTTCATTTGTTGAAATATGCTTAGTTTTTTGGTTGCTCACCTTTTTTTGTATCTGATGTTGCCTTTTAACACTAACTTTATCCAAATTATGTTTAAGGCTTTTTAGTGCAGCACCTGAGTCCTTCCCTTGAAAGAGGAAAGAACCTAGCAGGAAAATAATAAGTCCAGCACATATAGTAGAAGAGGAAGAGGGAGAGGGGTCAAAAAGGGGAGGGAGTAGCACAGGGGACTATGGTGATGGTTCATGTATATGGTGTGAGGGTTGGAATTTTATGAGGATTTCACCTGTGGGAGGAATCAAATATCTCCAAAAATGAACATCTTTGTAAAAATAAATTAGTTGATTTAAAAGCCCTAAGTGACTATGAAAGTACATCTTCATCTTCAGAAGTTTTATACTACAGATAAATTTAGTAATAATAAAATTTCCAGAGGTAGGATGAGCCAACCAAAGATATAAAGGTTATCAGCCCAAGAATATTTCTTTGTCTTGTCTTCAATTGCAGTCAAGGCAACATTGCTGATGTATCAGAGTCCCACCACGGGTCTCTTCCCTACCAAAACATGTGGTGATGATAAGAAGGCCAAGATCCAGGACAGTCTGTATTGTGCTGCTGCGGCCTGGGCCTTGGCTCTGGCGTACAGGTACGTTGGTACGTGCTATGCTGGTGGGCATTAGTCTAGGTCCTGTAGACCCAGGACCTACTGGAAGTTGTCTTGTGGCTATGCTGCTCACTTACTGTGACCTGCAACTGCTCATATCTCCTTTAAGCCCTCTAAAACTTTTAGTTTTCCTAAGAATTGACATGAGGCTTGTTTTATGACTTTGTGGATAAACATTTTTCATCTCTAGGTTCTTAAATCTGTATTTGTCTTTGAATTGCCCATTTTCATTGGATTCGTTGGCTTCAATCATCAAGGGAATTGATGGTGATTGAATTTTGGAGGTGATAAAATCTGGGCCCAAAGTAGCTAACCTGTTTGTTCAGATAGGTTTGTGATAGAACCGGGGTCAAGACTCTTTTTTTTCATTACCCCAGTTTAGTGTTTTTCCTACTTTATTGGGATATCATTTTTAAATCTGGTTTTCAGTTAATTATTTTTATAAATTAAGAAAAAAATGTTTTCATGAAAGAAGATTTCTCCTTTTATTATATATGGAAGGCAGTAGTAATACAGTAGTAATATATGGAAGGCAGTAGTAATACTGTTATTAAGATTATATTTTGAATGTTAATATTCTGAAGGTAACACATGTATGTACTACTTATTTGAATTTGTGTTCTTTCATATGAACTTCATCCCTCTTATCATAAATTATGGCTGTGTTGTAAAGGAGAGTCAAATACCAAGATAAGTTGAAGTAATCAACTTCAAGTTATTGGCAAACAAGTTAAGCACACTTGTTTGCCAATGTCACTATAAGCATTTCTTTGCATACTTATGTAAACACAATATAGTTTCACTAAATGTCAAGTTAATACTGGTCTTAGGAGTAGAGGGAGCACTGATAGCATCTTAATCAAACTGAGAAGCTAGAAATGGAATAGAGTGACATTATGTTCCTCCCAGTGTGACACAATGGTAAGTAAATATCATCTATGTTTACATATTAACAAAATGTTTAAATGGATTTACCTGTGGAAAAACAATTAGACAAAGCCAAATTGTGCCTACATATGAGAGACCTTACTTAAACTTTAAAAATAGTCATTATCATAGAGGATTAGAAAATAGATATAAAGAATGCTAATAAAAATTAAAGAAATATGAGAAGCAATTATAATGCATGATCCTTAAATGATCATGCATCTAAAGTATATGAAAAAGTAAATTTTGCGATAATTGGATAATTTGGGTATAGATTGTATGTAATACAGTATTGCTATAAATTCCTTCAGTGTGGTGTTCTTGTCTTTGGAGATACTTCTGAAGTGTGTACGAGTGGTGATGATTTGTAACTTACTTTCAAATAGTGTAGAAAATATATTATAGATTAACAATAAAAGCTTATTTAGCAACTGATGAATTCAGGTGAAAAGTTAAAGTTTTATTATTCATTTTAGCTTTTCTATAGACATGAAAATTTTCCACATTAAATGTTTGGGGGCAAATTGATTAAAAAATACAAATGAACTGGACTTTTCTTAGAAGACTTCAAACATCTGATAGTGAGTTGATAATCCTTACTTTGCTGGGCACACTACTCTGTGTACTAAGTCCCTGGATAGTTATCTTTTTACCTAGTTAAAGTAGCATAATTTTGAGTTACTAGCAAGAAATTGTTTACCATTTTATTATTTTGAGTTACATGACTCCGGTAAAGTGTTTCTTAATCTACTAAATTATACAAAATATGTTAAAGATTAAGTTGAATCTATAACTCTCATGTCATATTAAAATGTATGTTGTGTTATTGCTGCTAATATAACTCTAGAAAAAAATGACTCTAAATCAGGGTTTAAATGTGAAATATAATTTTATTTACTTTTTATATCTGTGGAGAGTGATTTTTGAAGAGAGTATTGACATGAGTACCTTCAATCCATGTAATTTGTATATATTAGAAATTAGAGAAATTCAAGGTAAACATTGATGTGATATTTTACAGCACTTTCAAAAGGAGAGACAAGATATTTTTCATTAAGAAATAAGTGGATTCCTTCCCTCCCCAATGTCTTCTTACCATATTTAGGAGTTGAGTAAAATAGGTGGCGTTAGTTTAGTGTTACTGAACATTCAAATCACATGACTGTTTTTAACCAAACAATACTATGATTTTTTTTCCATGAAACTTACCTGTAGGGAAAATATGGACTAATAATATAATTTAAGTATATAGGTATTTATTAGTTGTATATTTATAAGTCTGGAATTCAGCTTTAGATATAAATTCAAGGCTTCACGTTATAGAAGTAGCTGATACTTACTTGCATGTATTTTGTGATCAATGAATTGACCAGAATTTAAAATTGTTTCATTATTCATTTAAAAATTTTAAAATAATTTCCAGATAATAATAATTTGTATTTGTATAATGCAGGTCACAGAAAAAAAATATACGATATTGTCAGTTCCTGGTTGAAAATACAGGAATTATTTTGGATTCCCAGGTTGAGTTTAAATTGTAGAAAGGGGAAAGGGAGGGATCTGCCATCAAAGTGATCAGTGGGGTCCCAAGTAAGCATGGGCCTACCAGCAGTGTTGTTGGAGGCCAGCAACACTAGCCCCAGCACCCCTTCTGGAACAGAGTAAAGGTTGACGGAGGGCCCTGCAAACAAAGATGGGCAGCCAGTCCCTGGGAAACACCTGCTGGCCCATGGGGCTGTTGGAGGCCAATGACCTCTATGTACCCATGTACGCCATTCAGAACAGTGGATAAAGCCAGGAAGACAGAGGGAAGGCTCACCACCCTCAGGAAGCAGGAACTGATTGCAAGAGTGTCTTTCAGCCCACACATAACATTAGAGTCTGCATAAACCCCCTGCCACATGCACAATCCACACCCTGCATTATAAATTAAGATGTGCACGTAGGGGAGGAGACCAGCAGCATACACAGTTCAGTGATCTTCAGGGAGAGTGCCCATCAACCCACCAACAGCACTGCTGTCCTTGTGAAATCTGGCTTGACAGTCAGACTTGATGTGGCCATCATTTTCCAACATCCCAGTATGAAAACCCCAAAGGGATGTCTGCCAGTACCAGTGGCACAGCAGCCCAGCACATAGAGAAAATTTGAAAGCAAACAACAAAGGAGAAGGAAAACTAAAAATAATGAAGCAAGTGCTCTGGTGAATGACACACTACAAAAAGAAAATCTGCCCCCAGAATACAACAACAATGATGTGGGAAAACTTCTTTACCTGATAACTTAGAATTGCCATGACTAGAAAAATGTAAGGAAGATGAAAAGGAAAAGAACAATATGAGAGATATTGATAGTGAAAAGAAGGAAGGAAATGTAGGGCATTAAAAGGTTAATGAATAGCTAAATATGTCTGGGAAAATAACAAAAACAGAATTGATGACATGGAAAAATGAAACAGTACTCTGGAAGATTCTGATATAAAAAGAACCAAAGAAAAAAAGGAAAGAGAATTACAAAGGGGAAAAATGAATAAACACTTTGGGAACTATCTCATATCATGAGGGAAAGAAATACAAGAGTTAAATTAATCCAGAAGTTGAGGAGAGAGACACAGGAACTGGGAAACTATTTAAAGAGATAATCAAAGAGAATTTTTAATGAAGAAGTATGTGAACTAGACATACAGGAAGCCAGAAGTACACTAGGTTTCCACAATGAAAGGAGAACTACAGCAAGATACATACTAGTAAAGCTTCTAAAGGTCCAAGACAAGGAAAAAATAATGAAGCCGAGGAGGGGAAGAATCAGATAAGCTATAAAGGGAAACCAATGAGGCTGACATCAGACTTCTCAAAGAAACACTATGGGTAAAAAGGAAATGGAGCGACTTACTTAACAAACATCAAGTCAACAAATGCCAACCAAGAATACTTTACCCTGTATAGCTATCCTTCCTCTATTAAGGGACAATAAGGATATTCTCAGATAAACAGAACCTCCAAAATTAATTTCTACTAAACCTATAAGAAGTCCTAAAGCCAAAGCCAACAAGGGAACAAATAGGAAGAATAGAATAAGGTAAGGAAAAAAATCACAAAAAAAGACAAACAAATAGCAAATAAGATGCCAAAGTATAACTATCATCCCTAAATGTAAATGGACTAAACTCACCCATAAAAAGACATAGAGTAACAGGCTGGATTAAAAAAAAAAATCCAGCCTTCTTCTCTCTCCAGGAAACATACTTAAGTATAAAAGCGAAACATAATCTGAAAGTAAAAGGTTGGAAAACAATCTGCCAAGCAAATGTACCAAAAAAGAAGGCAGGAATAGCTATACTTATATCTGATAAAATAGACTTTAAAAAAAAAAGGTAAAAAGAGACCTAGATGGACACAACATTATGATTAAGGAAACAATACATCAGGAAAATATAACACTCATCAACATATACTCACCAAATGAGGAGCACCAAAATACATTGGACGATTATTATCATCTCTGAAACTAGAGGAGATAATCAAAGAAAACCTCTAGACATGAGTGAACATTTCAGACATTAAGGAAAATACATATATAATTTGTTATTTCAACAATGGATAGATCAATGAGACAAAAAAAATAAACAAGGGCACTAGAGCCCTACATAAAGGACCTAGATCTCATGGGTTTAATTGACATCTATAGAATACTGCACCCAAAAAAATCAAGTACACATTTTTCTCAAGTGCACATGGATCATTCCTTCTATTTGATCGCATATTGGGCCACAAGACAAACATCAATAGATATTTTAAAGTCAAAATCATAACAGCTATCTTCTCTGATCATTAAGGCATCAAACTAGAAATAAACCATGCAAAGAAAGTAGAGAATCCTCTGATTTTATGCTAATTGAAACCCACACTACTGGCAGTCCATTTGATCAATAGGAGATCAAAGAAGAAAATCAAAATACCTTCAGACAAATGACAATAAGGACACAAGATCCAGAATGTATGGGACACAGCAAAAGCAGTAATAAGAGGAATGTAGAGGTTCACATCAAGAAACGA